AAAAAGTATATCTTATCGCACCGACGACTCATGAATGTAATTACATCTCATAAGAAACTACACATCGTTACATCTACATTATCAAAATATCAAGTTAAGATACTAGGAAATAAGCAAATTAACTGATGTTCTTTGTAATAATTAAGATTTTCACTCTAGAAGTAACGATTAATATTGATTTTTTTATTTCAAATTTGTATTATCTTTTTAGTCACTTACCTTGATTTCGATTGACGTAATCTTTCAAATACATATTNTTACACGATCTTCGTTTGCGTAGTCATAACAGTGTAAATATCGACGATTTTTTGGAAATCGTATGCAAAAAATATCTTAAAAATTGATTATCTTTTGAAAATTGTATGCAAAGAATATCTTATTTTATCAAGATGATCAAAGAATAATATGTTCGCCTAATCTAAGCAGCTAAAATTTTACATAACAATCATACAAAAGGTAAGTGAGATATATGAGCTTATGTAAGTCGTTAGAAAATTTGAGTTTCTCTATGAGTAAAAAGTTTGTTTTTTAATGTTAATGTATTATTCAATTTGTTTTTGGACAAAAACTAAAATTGGAACATTATATTGAGAAAGTCAAAATGAAGGAAGTCGTTGACAAACGTCTGAACGAATAAACTACAATTCTCTGTTTAACCCCGCCACTCTATTTCACTGATGTTAAATTTTTCTAATTCTCGTTTTCAACGCAGTGAGGAAACGAGTCACACACGAGGGGAGATAACAGTCGACAATTTTCAGAATACCTAGTGTTCACGCGTATCGAGATCGTCAATAAATTTTATATACACTTTATTCTTATACGATACAATAAATCTTTGATGCATTTTTATGTGAGATCGCGCAGATTGTCAATCAAATTTTTATTCATGCTCTAGCTTCTTTAATTTTTCTCAATGATGCATTCATTAGTGTTCAGAAAAATATATAATTTCATTACGATTCCATTATAAAATATTATGATAGTACAATAAAATTATTATATTCTGATTAATGAGAGATGATACAAAGAGGTCGCGAGTTGAATAAGACATTTCGTTGTTAAAAAATTAAACAGTACATGGTTACAAGTTTATTTTCATACGATTATAAATAACAAAAAATATTCAAGTATTTCCAGTTCATGGTTCAATGCAAAGGCAGTTTTATAATGTAACTAGTTAAAAANAGTATATCTTATCGCACCGACGACTCATGAATGTAATTACATCTCATAAGAAACTACACATCGTTACATCTACATTATCAAAATATCAAGTTAAGATACTAGGAAATAAGCAAATTAACTGATGTTCTTTGTAATAATTAAGATTTTCACTCTAGAAGTAACGATTAATATTGATTTNAAAAGTATATCTTATCGCACCGACGACTCATGAATGTAATTACATCTCATAAGAAACTACACATCGTTACATCTACATTATCAAAATATCAAGTTAAGATACTAGGAAATAAGCAAATTAACTGATGTTCTTTGTAATAATTAAGATTTTCACTCTAGAAGTAACGATTAATATTGATTTTTTTATTTCAAATTTGTATTATCTTTTTAGTCACTTACCTTGATTTCGATTGACGTAATCTTTCAAATACATATTTACTCTAATTTACATAATTAATTATACATAAAACAAATCGTAAATATTAGGAAAACTAGAGAAGAAGGTAACGGTTAATTTTTGATTTTGATTTTATATTAATTACAGCAATTATTTATTAAAAAATCTGAATTCTGATTTCACATCATAATGAAAGACAAAAAAGAATGGAACTTTAGTTTCTTAATAAATCGGACTCCTTAAACCAGATCGGAATGATTTAACAAATCGTACCAATTAGGAAACTTTTCGGTGCCTTATAAAACGTTTAACACTTTACAGACTGACTGTTCTAATCGGAACATGCGGTATATTTAAAATAGCAATAAAAATGTCAAGTGTAACAACGTCAAAGCCGCCGTACGTCGAATCGGAGCTCGAGAGTTGATGACAACCAAGCGAGAATCGCGGATTCACTCGATGCCGATTCTTAAAGATTAATTTACAACATTCTTTATCCGAATGCTCGGTTCGAGTTGTTAAAGGTGTTCTCAAAATGTAAACTTAACCTCGAAATGAATGTCAATCTATAGCTTTGCAAGGAATGCATAAATGGGGAGCTCAGAGGCCAATGATTTTAAGTACCTGATCATGGAAACCGATAATTAAGTTTCTTAAAATTTAATTGTACAAAAATACCGGTGTACATACATGGGAGAATATGTTTATTAATAGATAATATATAGAGTAAACCACGTAACGTGATCAGCTTAATTTATTCTGTTGCTAGTGGTTCAATTGGAAACATTTCGAGCTAAAATAATATGGTTTAAAGAGAGCTTTAAGACGATTGTACCTTTTTTGTTAACCACGCTGCTCACGGAGTTCTCAAGGTCACTTTCAGTTTTGTATAGATTAACTTACAATTTTTTTGTATTCATCGTTTGGGACAGTGCTCGGAATCCTTTGCAACGCAACATTGGTCTCCGCCTCCTGATTATCGCGTCTCGCTCACCGCGTTGCTTCCATCGACTTACCGCCGCAGCGCCTCGCTTCCCGCGTTGCTTCAATCGGCTTACCGTCGCAGCGCCTCGTTCCTCGCGTTGCTTCCATCCGTTCACAGCCGATGGAAGCAACGCGGGGAGCGAAGCAATACGGCGGTAGTCAGGAGGCGGGGCCCAATGTTGCGTTTCGAAGCATTCCGAGCACTGGTTTAACCTTTTAGGTACGGCTGAATTCTGCGCGAGGCTATTTCTCTGGACGGCAGAGTCTGATATGTACTGTACAGGGTCTGATACTGTATATTCTGTCTGTATATACAGGGTGTCCCAAAACTGTCTCGCAATCCGATAGTGGCGGGTTCCTCGGGCCATTTGAAGCAACTTTTTCCTTTACAAAAATGTTCTCCGAGGCACCGTTAACGAGTTATTAACGAAAAACAATGACCAATGAGAGGCGAGCTCAGCTGGCGCGAGGCGATCGAACCAATGAGC